AGCAGATGAGCTTTTTAAATCTTCAAGAAAGTAGAATACTCCCCCCAAAAAAATCAAGAATAAAAAAAAAAGGAGAGGAAAATATAAAATCTGAACACCAGTCTAGGAAATTCAGCATCTGACTAAAGGAGTAGCTAGAAAGAAAGAACAGAGAAAACTGGAGGGGAGGGGTGATTACAAAGAAGCAATGCATGAAATTTTGCAGAGCTAAAGTTTCCAGATTAGAAGTGCCTACTGTCTAGCACCAAAAAAAAAAAGGGCATTTTCAAATTCCCGGGAGGAGGGGTTTTTAAATTTTCCGTTTTTTTTTAGGCGGGGGGGGAAAAAATGAGAACAGTACAGGACTTCGACAGCAATCCTCAAGCTAAAACACAATGTGACACTACGTTCTCAACTGCTGGAAATGGTTTCTAACCAAGAAATCTAAATGCAGCCCAAAGAACAATCAAGTGTGAAAGACAGGTACAACAGAGTCACTTTCAGACACATGACATTCTCAGCGTTTACGCCCCACATAGCTTCTTTCCTCTCCTGCTCCCCACAAAAGCAACAGCGGATACACGTCACTAAACTAGGGAAGTTAAGGAAAAGGAAGCCTCTGCTATTAGCAATATGATGCAGAAGACACGGGGCGCAATTCCCAGGATGAGGGCAAAAGGAAGTCCCACCAAGACAGATGCGCACAGGCCTACAGAGAACAGGTACGGCTGTGGGGATAACGGAGGGCTCCACCAGGAGGAGGAGTTAAACCAAATGAGAACCCTTGGTGGGTGTCCATATCTAACCATACTGCGAAGGTTTCATTTGGAGAGTCCGAAGATAAATTAATTACAAAGGTCACTAACTCTAGGAAAAACAAAGTTAAATGAAACAAAAAAGAAACAATGATAAAATACTGCATGGCTTAGATATGACTCTTGCTATCGTAATCAGTACTGATGTATCCTAAGATTGGTAAAAGCTACATGGGAGACTGTGCGGAGAAAAATAGCAGCTAGGGAGGGTGTGAGGTGGGAGTTAAAAATGAAACCGTCACCACTCAAAGTAAAAAGCCAACCGATAATGACTAAACTGGTTAACTCAGGCAACAGCCATAAAAGCACGGAATTTAAAAAGAGGGTAGACAACAAAACCACAAGAGCTTTTAAGAAACTGCATCTGGGTAATAAAATGGGCATGTGACAATGGGGTGGGAACTTGCTATTCTCCTTATTACATCTAGAGGACTAATACTTACTAAACTACAGACCTATTGTGCTATATAACATATTAAGCTTCAAAAATTGTTTTTCATCCATTGGACCACCTATTCTAATCCGTTTCTTCTTATCTCATAATGGGATTATGGATCACGGATCTTTGGAACAAAAGCATTTAATGTCACAGCAAAAGAGGATTTAGATTTATGTACAAATTTAGTAGAAGACTAATTTTGGATTTGAAAAGCTAGTTCTCTGCTCAAATACTTTCATATGAAAGTTAAATTACACTATGAATAAAACTGTAACTCATGTCCTCCTGACCTCACAATTCTGCTTGAGCCCCTTGCCAATGAAATGAAAACTAGATAATAAGGCACTAGATAAAATCTAGATAATATCTAGATAAAATATCTAGAGTGAAAAACTAGATAATAAATTCTAAAATCTCAAAAATAACCACCGATTAGATTATTTTTCAGCTGCAGTGTTACACTGTGTTAAATCACCTTGTGTGCAAGTGAACTAAAGCAGCTGTTGGCAAACCTATGACCCGGGTGGCCCAAATCCATCCTGCCTTTTTTTTTTTTTAATAATACCACCAACTATGAATATTTTTAACCACTAAAAAAGGTAAAAAGCAAAATTTTAAAAACAGTGTATTTCTCGACACATGAAAAAAAAATACCATGGAAACTCAATTCTCTGTCCACAGCCTTGTCCACTAATGTCTGTATACACAGCTGTTTTCTAGGATGGCAGAACTGGATGACCCACAAAGCCTAAAATATTTCCTGTTTGATCCCTTTCATATCGTTGACCCTTGAACTTAAAAATTCTAATTCTGAATTTTATTTTTATTTTATTTCAAATGAAACTGAGCCAAATGCATAGATGAAAATATACACGTAAGAAGTCCTGGAATCAGAGGTGTCTGAATAAGGAAACTTAGGGATACAACCCTTGAAAGAGAAAAGCCCAGGGAGCTTGCTTAGAGCCAATCAGGAAATGGGACTAGAATCAAGAGTAGAATCTTGGCCATCCTCTTACACATGCATCTGTCACCAAAGTTTTAACCCTAAGAAAAAGAAATGCAAAAAGCCAAATGGCTTGTCTGAAGAGGCCTTACAAACAGCTGAGAAAAGAAAAGAAGTGAAAGAAAGGGAAAAAGGAAAGATGTATCCATTTGAATGCAGAGTTCCAAAGAAGAGCAAGGAAAGATAAGAAAGCCTTCCTCAGTGATCAGTGCAAAGAAAGAGAGGAAAACAACAGAATGGGAAAGACTAGAGATCTCTTTAAGAATATTAGAGATACCAAGGGAACATTCCATGCAAAGATGGGCACAATAAAGGACAGAAATTGTATGGACCTAACAGAAGCAGAAGATTTAAGAAGAGGTGGCAAGAATTCACAGAAGAACTATACAAAAAAGATCTTCATGACCCAGATAATCATGAAGGTATGACCCCTCACCTAAAGCCAGACATCCTTGAATGCAAAGTCAAGAGGGCCTTAGGAAGCATCACTACAAACAAAGCTAGTGGAGGTGATGGAATTCCAGTTGAGCTATTTCAAATCCTAAAAGAACATGTTGTGAAGGTGCTGAACTCAATATGCCAGCAAATTTGGAAAACTCAGCAGTGGCCACAGGACTGGAAAAAGTCAGTTTTCATTCCAATCCCAAAGAAAGGCAATGCCAAAGAATGCTCAAACTACCTCACAATTGCACTCATCTCACACGGTAGCAAAGTAATGCTCAAAATTCTCCAAGTCAGGCTTCAACAGTACGTGAACGATGAACTTTCAGATGTTCAAGCTGGTTTTAGAAAAGGCAGAGGAACCAGAGATCAAATTGCCAACATCTGTTGGATCATCGAAAAAGCAAGAGAGTTCCAGAAAAACATCTATTTCTGCTTTACTGACTATGACAAAGCTTTTGACTGTGTGGATCACAACAAACTGGAAAAATTCTTAAAGAGATGGGAATACCAGACCACCTGACCTGCCTCCTGAGAAATCTGTATGCAGGTCAAGAAGCAACAGTNAAGGAAATCAGTCCTGAATATTCATTGGAAGGACTGATGCTGAAGCTGAAACTCCAATACTTTGGCCACCTGATGCAAAGAACTGACTCATTTGAAAAGACCCTGATGCTGGGAAACATTGAAGGTGGGAGAAGAGGGGACGACAGAGGATGAGATGGTTGGATGGCATCACCGATTCGATGGACATGAGTTTGAGTAAGCTCCAAGAGTTGGTGATGGACAGGGAAGCCTGGCATGCTGCAGTTCATGGGGTCACAAGGAGTTCGACATGACTGAGCGACTGAACTGAAATCCTTTGTTCCTACTCCACTCTTCAAACTTTCTATTACTACATCACTTATTTTGTTTTAGTTAAAATGCTAGTAAAACTTCCTGATCTCTAATTTGACCTTCCGCATAGGTGACTCAGTGGTAAAGAATCCACCTGCCAATGCAGGAGACTCAAGTTCAATCCCTTTGTTTGAAAAGATCCCCTGGAGGAGGAAATGGCAACCCACTCCAGTATTCTTGCCTGGAGAACTCCATGGACAGGGGAGCCCTAGCAGGCTACATTTCATGGGGTCACAAAGAGTTGGACATGACTGAGCATGATATATTTATAACAGATGTCTGTCCCCATTTTCTGTTAACTATGCCAGTAAAGCAGTATGGAATACTACTTAAGACCAGTCTTCAGTGTCAGGGAGACCCAGGCCCTGGCTCTGCTTCCAAGGACCCCTGTGTCCTCATTAATACCGTAAACTTCTCTAACCACCCTTTTCTCACCCCTAAGAGTGAGTGGAGTCACCGCCTCAGACAAGCACAGCTAGAACACAATGAAAGACGTCAAGAACTTAATGTTCTGACTGTCTGAATTAAAAGCTCGAGAAATGCTGTCTTATCATGTCCACATTTTATAAGCATTTATTGCCTTTCAAGAGTTTCACAGGCCGTGTTCTCAAACCTCAATGTGCTTAGGAATTGCACTCGTGACCTTGTCAGTGTAGATTCTCTTGGCCCTACTCCCAACAACTCTGACTCTTTCATCTGGAGGGTTAAGATTAACGCTTCACCCTGTTTTTAAACTCCAGTGTGATGTGGACATGAGTGATCCATGAAATAAAGTGTTCTTCGATAATGAAACAGATACCAAGAGCACAGGAAACAAGCAAAGTCTCAATAATCACAGCCTTAAGTACTAGCCTCCTTTATCAAAATAGGCAAGAGCTGAGTATGGCTCAGTCCTTTTGCTTTTTCTTTCCCTGCTACAACTATCCTTTTTTTTTTAATGTATGTTGGGCTCTATAATTAACGTTACATAGAATATGAAGACTATCGCGTAGTTTATAAAGGTTAGGACTTCCAGTTACACATCCAAGTAAACATTTAGGCAACTCAAAAGGTCTGTACCCAGATCCCAGTGGAACCCCAGTTTGCTATCTTGGAATTCAGCCACACAGTCTTATAACCGTCTGAAGAGAATGTAAGACTGACCCATTTTATTTAGTGGTATGTTTGTAAACAAAGAAATAGAAAAATCATATGTATTCCCACAACACTAACTAAAAGGAGCTGAAAATATAACTGAAAACAAACACAGAACTAAATATATTCTACACTTGAGAAACCCTCTTGGGTAAACATGTTAAGTGAATTGCATGCAATGCCTGCCCCTCAGGGTAAGGTGTTTCAGTTAAGTGTCTGCTCCAAAACCAGCAACAAGACCCAGTGGATGGTGGCGGGGGTTTAAGGGGGTGGGTAGCCGGGTCGCGGTTACCTTGCTCCAGTCTAAAGCAGAGGGAACGCCTTGCCGCTTCCATCTCCGGAGTCGGGTTATCTAGGACATGTCTACACCACTGCAAAGGGCTCAGGGATTTCTCTGATGACAGGAATGTCTTTGAAGAGCCAACGTACAACCTTAAAAAAAGAAATCTACATTATAGGGATTATATAGCTATATAGAGATTACCTCTCTTCTACTTGAGAAAACAACATGTATTTAACAGTTTCTATAACTTAACATTTAATTATTGCAAAATACCAAAGTTATTTTTAACCGACAAGCATCCCCGAGTAGAAGATGACACCCTCTGTAGCTTGGTGGCAAGGAGGACTTCAAAAAACTATGGAACATTGTCTCAGCGGGTCAGAGATCTGAGGCTTTTGTTACTGAACTGACCTCAAAGGGGCCACCATGATGATTTGACCGGCTCACTTGTATTTCTGGAAATGAACTTTTTCATCTCATCTCTTTGATGACAGCATTTTCTGTGACCTTGGGCTAATGCATATAAACATGATGTGGCAAACAAGGCAAATCTGATTTGCATTTTAAAAAAATAAGTCTAAAAACAAATGAAAGTCAACTATGTGTTGATTCTCTCAACCCTTAAATATATCAGGTATGTCCCCTGTCTCAGATCTATACTAAATTTGGTAGGTCCTTACTTCTCAATTAAAACTTGACCACTAAAAAAAAAAAAAAAAAACTTGACCACTTTCAAAAATCTGTTTTGTGAAGAGCTCACTCCAGCACCCACACTATTATACAGAAGTGGGCAGGATAACCACCCCAGAGGCACTACAAATCATAACATGGATTTTTCTCTCCTGGATGTACTGTTCAAAGGTACATTTTAGAATATTTTCCAGTGATAGGGCAATACAAAAAGCTTTATCTTCAGGCTTAACCAGCAGGTGACTAAAAAAAGGAAGAAAGAACATTACAATCACAGGCTCCAGTAATTGACCTTGCTATATAAAGCTGTATTCTAATTACAAATCTCATTAAAGTAAAACTCCTTCAAGCAAAGTTACCATAATTCTAATGCGGAGGTATTCCCGAAATAACATACTCCGTTATTCATTCTTTTACCTTACAGTCTGGTCCACCACCTCGTAGAGTAATTTATCCCAGATGGTTGGGGAATGTACTATTTAGCAAATTACCCTTACAGTTCATGGGTGGCAAGCTTTTTTCTATAAAGGACCAGCTAGTAAATATATAGGCTTTGGGGCCACAGTCTCTGTCATAACTACCTAATTCTGTCTCTGCAGCCAAAAAATATCAGATGATAAATAACAAGTATGGCTGTGTTCTTATAAACTTTATTTATAGATACAGAATGCTGAATTCCCCATAATCTTCACATGTCACAAAATAGTATTCTTTTAATTTTTTCCAATCATTTAAAAATGTAAAAATCTAAGCTGATCAGCTATATTTTAAACCAGGCAGTAGGTCCAATATGCCCATGGTTTGCTGACTCCTGTTAGAGAGGAAAGTTCTAAAACATCTCTTTTAATCAATTTAATAGTACTCCTAATATATCATTATTCCCTTAGAATGTGGCCCACAGTCCTGCCCTCATTGACAGTAATATTGGTTAGTTCAAAATTCTTATTTCCGAGTCGCACCTCGGCCTGCTATGGCAAGATGATTACCAAGCTATGTGGATCCTTGCCTTTCACCCCTCCTTGCTGTCAGACCCTTGAACTATTACTGCAAAGCTCTCTCTAAACCCCTAGGTAAATGTTAGTCTAGGCCAATTGTTTTCAATCTCTGACGTATCAAAATCTGAGGATTTGTTAAAACACAAATTGCTAACACCTAATTATTGCAGGCAGCTCCAACCTACCAGATTCAGTAGGTTTGGAGTGAAAGCAAAGAATCTCAACATCTAACAAGTTCCCAAGCAATGCTGATACTGCCGTCTGGACTCCACCTTGAGAGGGATGTGCTGGGCTGAGCCAACTGTGCCAATTCCATTAATCCCATCTGCCCAATGATCAGTTTAGGCACACACCCTGGACACACTGCGCAATAAAAACTAAGGGGAAATACTTTGACGGGCATGTGAGCAAGGTTCTCCTCATGTTTAAAGGGGGTCACAAAAGACCCAATTATGCTGCCTATAACATGTGCACTTTAAAAATAACACACATTAAAAAAATAACACAAAGAGAAACAAAACCTACTCACAGAGAAAAGCCACGGCCCAGAAAGTTCCATTATCTAATTCTACCAGTATTTAAAGAACACCACTTCTTCACAAATTCTTTCCAAATAATAGAAGAGAGAGTCACATCTTAACAGTCTATGATACCAGCATAGCTATGAAACCTGATACCCAGACCAGATACAGACATTACAAGGTAAGAAACTAAAGACCATCACCCCTTATGAACACAGAAGCAATAGGTCTAAATGTTTTAGCGAATTCAGTACAACCATATGTAAAAGGGATACATCATTACCAAGTGAGATTTATCCCAGGAATGAAAAGTTGGCTTAACATTCAAATATCAGTGTAACTTACCACATATACTAAAATAGAAAAACCATATGATAATCTCAAAATACAAAGAAAAACATATGACATCCATTCCTGATAAAAACTCAGTAAATTGGAAACAGGAGGAAACATCATCAGTCTTATTAAAGACATCTACAAAAAAAGCTTGGAGAAGGAAATGGCAACCCACTCCAGTATTCTTGCCTGGAAAATCCCATGGACAAAGGAGCCTGGCAGGCTACAGTCCATTGGGTCGCAAGAGACGGACACTACCACCACAAAAAAAGGCTCCTTAACGGTGAAAGACTGAACACTTTCCCCTTAATATCAAGAACAATACAAGGTCTGCATGTTCTGGCCACTACAATCAGGCAACAATTTGGCTTGGATAGAATCTAGTATATCTGTTTTATGACATGATCATCTATGTAAAACACTGAGGAATATATAAAGTGAAGTGAAAGTTGCTTAGTCATGTCCAACTCTTTACAATTCCATGGACCATACAGTGCATGGAATTCTCCACGCCAGACTACTGAAGTGGGTAGCCTTTCCCTTCTCCAGGAGATCTACCAACCCAGGGATTGAACCCAGGTCTCCTGCATTGCAGGCAGATTCTTTACCAGCTGAGCCACCAGGGAAACCCAAGAATACTGGAGTGGGTAGCGATCCCTTCTCCAAGGGATCCTCCTGACCGAGGAGTTGAACTGGGGTCTCCTGCATTGCAAGTGGATTCTTTACCAACTGAGCTATCAGGGAAGCCTGGAATATACAAAAAAAAAATACTAGAATAAGTGAGCTTAGCAGCAAAATTGTAGGATACCAGATCAAAGTACAAAAGAAAAGAGCAACTCAAAAAAAAAATAGTAACAATCAGTATTTTTGCGATTTCACTTCCCATTCACAATAGCATAGGAAAAACCATAAAATGCCTAAGGATAAATCTGACGAAAGATGCCAAGACCTTTTCCTTGAAAACTACAATCATCCTGAGAGAAATTTTAAAAGATATATATATAGACAGGCCATGTCCATGGGTCAGAAAACTAAATATTGTGAAGATGTCACTTATCCCTAAATTGATCCATTTAACAAAAATCCAATCAAAATCTCAGCAGGCTTTTTGCAAAAGCTGATTCTAAAATTCATATAAAAGAGAAAAGATCCTAGAATAGCCAAAACAATGAATTCGGAGAGCTGCTGCTAACTAACTAAGACTTATTACAAGACTACAATAATGAAGATAATTTAACAATAGGATGGCATGAAGATAAATAGATCAATGGAAAAAATAGATGGTCCATAAATAGAAATACAAATACATGGAAAACTGATTTTTGACAAACTACAAAGACAATTCAATGAACAAGAGGCAGTGTTTTAAACAAACTGTGCTGGAACAATTACATGCAAAAAGTGAGCCTTGATCCATACTTGACACAATATCCAAAGTTAACTCAAAACAGATCACAAAAATGTGAAACCTAAACTGTAAAACTTTTAGAAGAAGCCATAGACGAAAGTCCTGCTGTCTTTGGGTTGGCAAATATTACTTAGATACATTTTTTAGACTGAAAGCATGATCTAGGAAGAAAAAAAACCAAACTGGACTTCACCAAAACTAACAAGTCTCTCTGCTCTTTGCAAGAGACTATGATGAGAATGAATCACAAACCATGGATTTGGAAAAAATACTTACAAATCACTTATCTGATAAAAAAGAACTTGTAAGGGGAATACATACGAAATTCTGCAAACTCAAGAAGCAACCCAGTTTAAAAAAAAATTGACAAAAGATTTAAACAGACATTTCACCAAAGATCTATGGATGGCAAACAGATGTTGAAAAGATGCTCATCATTACTCATTAGGGAAAAATGAGAGCCCCAGTGAGACACAGCTATGAGAATGCCTAAGGAGAAGACTAGCCATAGCAAGCCTTGGTGACAATCTGGTGCAAACAAAACTCTGCTACACTGCCAGTGGAACTATAAAATGGCACACACTTTGGAAACAATTCTGGCAGCTTCTTTAAAAATTAACATATACCTACTCTCTGATCCAGCCACTCAGAAGTCATAAAGTATTTACCAGAAAGACACAAATGCTGTGTGTCCACACAAAGACTTCTTAATAGTCCCAAACTGAAAATCTAGATGTTCATGAAAAGATGAACGGATAAGACAAACCATTATTGTGTCCCTATTATCTAAAACCCTCACAATAAAAAGAAATGAACTAATGATTCATGCAACAACACATGAATTTCAAAATCATTAAAGTCTCCTACATCGGAACCTTCAATTCACAAACTTTCAAAGATGCAAACATGCATTCATATCTAACTAATCACGTTAAGTTATAATAGTTCACGTGACTGGCATATATTGTCAGTGAACGTGCATGCATCCTCTATAACTGGCTGTTCTTTTGAGCACTTTACTGTGTAGGACTGTATAGAGGACAGTATCTTTAAACCCAGGATATATGGAAGCGAGTGTAAAAGCCGCAGTGATGTAGTGTGCACTACTAAGAAGTGACAAGCAATAACAATGGAAACAAAAGTGACAACAACAGAGTGAAGCGAGGCAAAACAATGGTGGAGCTGTTGTACTGTACTATTGTACTCTTTAAGGTACTATACTGAAAGTTTAAAAGTGTTTTCTTTTTTAGGTATTAAC